ATGTAGTGCTTCCCTTTCAAGCATTTGGAGGTTTTCTGGCTAACCTTTTTGTCATTGACTTAGAGCTTAATTCCTTTGTGGATAGAGAATATATTCTGTGATACCACTATTTGGGAATTTATTGAGGTCTGGTGTGTTTCCCAGCATATAGTAATTTTGAATATATGAGAATTTGAAAAAGTATATTTTACTGTAGCATGTAATATCAGTTATTTCCAGTTTGCTTATTATGCTTTTCAGATGTTCTCTATAGCCTTCTTTCATTTTGTTTTGTTTTAAATTTGCTTGTTTTATCAGTAGTTGAGAGGTATGTTAAACTACCTGGGATTGTGGATCTGCCCATTTCATTTTTTGTTCTATCAATTTAATTTAATTCAATTTTAAAGATGATTTGAGAAAGAGAGCCCGTGCGCATGTGCACATGCACTAGCAGGGATGGGTCAGAGGGAGAGGGAGAGAGAATCTTCACGCAGACTCCTGGCCCAGTGCAAAGCCCAACACAGGGCTTGATCCTAGGACCCTGAGCTGAAACCAGGAGTTGAATGCCCAACCAGCTGCGCCACCCAAGCGTGCTTGTTCTATCAATTTTAATGAGTTATATTTCAAACCTATAAGATGCATGCAAACTGAAAATGTGACTTGGGATTGGATGATTGGCCAATTAATCTTTATGTGGAGATCTCTGTAATCTCCACTAATAATTCTTGTGTTAAAGTCTATCTTACCTGTCACATACTTGTATAAATGCAGCATTATTTTGGGGAAGGAGGGTTATTGTTATGTGGAATGTCTTTTCTTATTCTTTTTTTAAAGCACTCATTTTTATCGCTCGTTTTATTTTTATTGTATTAATTCCCTGAACCCTTCCATTTTAAGTTGTCCACTTATACTTTTTTCTTTAAAGAGGCTTTTTAGGTTCACAGCAGAATTGAGTAGAAAGTACAGAGTTTCTATATCTCTCCTTCACCACCATCCTACTACCACCCCATACACATTTAAATTGACAAAACTACAATGACATGTCGTTATCACTCAAACTTCATAGTTTACATTATGGTTCACATCTTCCTTTATTCATTCTTTGGGGTTTGACACGTGTTTAATGACATAGATATACCATTATAGTATCATATAGTAGTTTCCCTGCTATAAAATTTGCTCTTCCTTTTCATTCTTCCTCCCCCGAACCTTGGCAGCTAATGACCTGCCTATCCAGTTTTGCCTTTTCCAAAATGTCGAAATCATACGGTGTATAAACTTTTCAGACTGGCTTATTTCACTTAATAATATGCACTTAAAGTTCTTTTGTCTTTTAATGGCTTTCATTGCTTTTATTTGTGTCTTTTTTCTTTGTTGTTTGTTTTTAATCACTGAATAACATTCCATTGTCTGGGTGTATCACACTTCATCTCTTCACTTTCAGAAGGACATCTCAATTGCTTCCAAGTTTTGGCAGTTATGAATAAAGTAAATATTCATTCACAGGGAGGTTTTGTGTGGAAATGTTTTCAACTCATTTGAATGAATACCAAGGGGGATATGATTGCTGGATTGTATGATTAGTGTATATTTAGTTTTGTAAGACATTACCAAACTGTCTTCCAAAGCAGGGGGAGCGGCAGACTGAGGGAAAAGAAGGCTCCCTGCTGAGCAGAGACCCAGTGTTGGGACTTAGTCCCAGGACCCTGGGATGGTGACCTGAGCCAAAGGCAGACGCTTAACTGACTGAGACACCCAGGCATCCCATGATCCATTCCATCTTTGTGGATGTGTGTTTTTTTATGAGTGTTTTTTTATTTTTTATTTTGTTTCGTTTGCTTTTAAGTTTTCAGTTTTTATTTAAATTCTAGTTAACAGTATAATACTGGTTTCAGGAGTAGAATTTAGTGATTCCACAGTTGCATATGACACCAGGTGCTTTATCACAGGTACCCATCACCCATTTAGCCCATCCCCCATGCACCTGCCCTCCATTGACCCTGTTTGTTCTCTGTAGTTAAGAATCTCTTATGGTTTAAGAGTCTGTTTTTTGTTTTGTGTCTTTTTTTCCTTTGTTCATCTGTTTCATTTCTTAAATTCTGCATATGAGTGAAAGCATATGGTATTTGTCTTTGATTGACTTATTTCACTTAGCATTGTATTTTCTAGCTCCATCCATGCAAATGGCAGATTTCATTCTTTTTGATGGCTTAGTAATATTCCATTATATATATATATTAGTAATATTCCATTATATATATTATATATATATATTTGGAAATCACATATTCTTTATCCTTTCATCAGTTAGTGGACTCTGGGGCTCTTTCCATAATTTGGCTGTTATTGGTAATGCTGCTATAAACATTGGGGTGCATATGTCTGTTTGAATCAGTATTTTTGGGGGGTCCCCTTACTACTCACCATCTTAACTTCTCAAATAAATACTTGGTAGTGCAATTGCTGATTCAAAGGGTAATTCTGTTTTTAACTTGTGGAGGTACCTCCATACTGTTTTCCAGAGTGGCTGCACCAATTTGCATTCCCACCAGCAGTGTAAGTTTCCACTTACACTTTCTCCACATCCTCAGCAGCACGTGTTGTTTCTTGTGTTGTTGATTTTAGCCATTCTGACATGTGAGATGGTATCTCACTGTGGTTTTGATATGTATTTCCCTGATGATGAATGATGTTGAGCATCTTTTCATGTGTCTGTTAGCCATCTTGGATGTCATCTTTGGAAAAGTGTCCATTAATGTCTTCTGCCCACTGTTTAATTGGATTATTTGTGTTTCGGGTGTTGAGTTTTAGAAGCTGTTTATGTATTTCAGGTACTAACCATTTATCAGATACGTCATTTGCAAATATCTTCTCCCTTTCTGTAGGCTGCCTTTTAGTTTTGTTGATTGTTTTCTTTGCTGTGCAAAAGCTTTTTATCCTGATGAAATCCCAATAGTTCATTTTTGCTTTTGTTTCCTTGCCTCCAGAGATGTGTCTAGTAAGAGCCAATGTCAAAGAGTTTCTGCCTGTGTTCTTTCAGATTTTGATGGTTTCCTGTTTCACATTTAGGTCTTTCATCTATTTTGAAATTTAATTTTGTGTATGGTATAAGAAAGTAGTCCAGATTTATTCTTCTGTATGTTGCTATCCGGTTTTCCCAACACCATTTGTTGAAGAGATTTTTTTTTCATTGGGTATTCTTTCCTGCTTTATTAAAGACTAGTTGGCCATATCGTTGTGGGTTCATTTCTAGGTTCTCTATTCTGTTCCTTTGATCTATGTGTCTGTTTTTGTGCCAGTACCATACTGTCTTGATGACTGCAGCTTTGTCATACAGCTTGAAACCCAGAATTATGATGCCTCCAGATTTGCTTTTCTTTTTCAAGATTGCTTTGGCTATTCAAAGTCTTTTGTGGTTCCATTACAAATTTTAGGATTATTTGTTCTAGAAAAATGCTGTTGGTATTTTGATAGGGATTACATTAAATGTGTAGATTGCTTTGGGTAGTATAGACATTTTAGTATTATTTGTTCTTCCATTCCTAGAGCATACATTGCACTTTTTTTTTCTTTTTTGCTTTGTTTCTGAGGAAATGTCCAATTTTGCTCTTATCCTTGGTATACATAAGGAGTCTTTCCCTTCCCCCCCATGGTTTCTTCCAGGATTTTTTTTTAGCACTTATTTTCTGCAGTTTGAATACCGTATGCTTAGGTGTCATTTTTTAATATATATATTTATTCTGCTAGGCATTTTCTGAGTTTCCTGGTCCATTCTTTGGTGTCTGACATTAATGTAGGGGAAATTCTGTTTCAAATATTATATTCCTTCCTCTCTTTCTTGGCATCTGGTATTCCCACTATGTATATGTTACATGTGTCTAGTTGTCCTACAGTTCTTGAGTACTCTTTCTTTTTAACTTTTTGCTTTCCAGTGTTGGGAGTTTCTCTCGACATATGTTTAATCTTAGAGATTCTTTCCTTATCTGTGTCTTATGTACCAATGAGCCCAGCAAAGCCCCCCAAAAAACAACTTTGTTGTTAGTATAGTGTTTTTTATCTCTAGCATTTCTTTTTTCATTCTTTCATAGAATTCCATCTCTCTGCTTACATGACTCATTTGAAATTTTTTTCATGTCCCCTTTTTCTGTTGGGAGTCCTTAGCATTATCAGCTGTAGTTATTTTAAATGTTTGGTTGAATAATTTCAATATCCTTGTCGTATCAGAGTTTCATGTTTGCTCTGTCTCTTCAAACTCTGTTGATTATTGTTTACTATATTTTGGATTTTCTGTTGAAACTTAGACATAATATACTGAATAAAAGGAACTACTGTAAATAAACCTTTCATATTGTGTAGGTATGGAGGGACAGGTTAGCTAGAGAGAACTGGAATTGAGTATTTCACTTTCCCCCACATGGAAGTCTGTACCAGGCTAGAGTTTCAAATTTCCCTTCTAATTTGGTTTTTATAAAAACCTATATTAGGACCTGGTAAAGTAGCTTCTCTTGAGGGTAGGCTTTATTAAGAGCAGAATGCTGTATCATATTTCAGAATGACTACTTTGCATCTCTTCTCCTGGAAATGAGGGGCTTTTTCTGTGATCCTGTCTGTGATGACTTGATAGGATTTCTGGAGGTAAAGTCACAAAAATATGAGTGTTCCCTTCAGTCTAGACCCTCTGCAGTTTTTAACTCTCGGACATTCCACATCCGCTTCCAAGCAATTCATCAAGTACAGTTTAGGGTTTTCTGTCCCTCTCCTTATTTGCATGGAGGTCTTTGCTCATGGTTTTCTATTGGTAATTTTTGATTCTCTCTGTCCCTTTGATCTCCCATCTGATTTTATGGGCAGCAGTTTGCCACATGACTTTAATTTTCCATCAGATCTGTGACGAGTTGTTGATTCAGTTTATTACTTGTTAGGGAGGGGTGACAACTCCCCAGCTTCTTATATGCTGAACTAGAAATCAGAAGTCTCCTATCCTTTTACTTCTCTCTCTCTTTTTTTAAAGATTTTATTTATTTATTTATTTATTTATTTATTTATTTATTTATAGTTGGGAAGGGCAGGCAGTGGGAGAGAGAGATCTTGGGATCATGACCTGAGTGGAAGCCAGATGCTTAACTGACTGAGCCACCCAGGCACCCCGGCTTTCTTCTCTTTTTTCTCCTTATATTTAAGCATCTGTATGTAGCTTATGGCTATGTTCTGTGTTTCTGTCTTGGTCTTTCAGCTGTATTTTCAGTCCTTTTAATATAAATGCTGATATATTTGGGCTATTTGTCTCTTATGGTTTATGAACCTTAAGAATTTGGGAATGGTTTACCTGAGTGATTTCTGACTTTTTTTTTTCCTTTGTGGTCAGCATCTCAGCTAGGGTTGCAGATATCTGAAGACTTGACTGGGGTTGGGGTATCCATTTTCACAGTGGTTCACTCCACATGGCTTTTGATGAGAAGCCTCAGTTTTTCAGCACATAGACCTCTGCAAAGGGCTCCTTAGTGTCTTCAGGTCATGGCACTTAACTTTTCCTAGAAGGCTTGTTCTAACAGAGAGGAAGAAAAACGTCTTGATAACCTTTGTGGCTTGACCTCAGAAGTTACACTGACATTTCCAAAAAGGTAAGTGATAAAGAAAGTTCATTACAGGGCTCCTCGGTGGCTCAGATGTTAAGTGTCTGCCTTCAGCTCAGATCATGATCCCAGGATCCTGGGATCGAGCCCTCCATCTGGCTCCCTGTTCAGTGGGAAGCCTGCTTCTCCCTCTCCCACTCCCCCTGCTTGTGTTCCCTCTCTCACTTTCTCTCTGTCAAATAAATTAAAAAATCCTAAAAAAAAAGAATTCATTACAACCATGTTTTATTAGCAGTAAACATTGTAAAAACTAATGTTCTCTACTTATAACCTATTCAGTCCATGCAATTCTATGTACTTTAATTTATCAAATATTCTTAATCTTTAAGTCTTAAATTTTTAAAATACAGTAAATGTAAATCCTTTACAAAAAGGATGAGAAGTGTGATCCCAGTTTCATTAAATAATTCTAGATCTATATGGGACATTTTAAAGTATAATATTTTCGCTAAACATATGTTGATACTAAATTGCTAAATGTTATACATATATGTCATTGAAATTTAAGTCTGCAGTATTTAATCTTTTAAGACCTCATCAGCTGACTCGTCCAATGAGAATTCCCCAGCAACTCACCCAGATGAACAAGGTCAAGGTGATGCTCTGCCACAGCACGAAGATGAAGAACCTGCATTTCCACATACTGACTTGGCAAAGTTGGATGACATGATCAATAGGCGAGTTGTTTTGATTTTTTTTTTAATGGAGCTAATAAACTAGAAAAGCAGATTTTCTTTTTTATCGGCATTGCCACTGCTAAAGAATGAGAAAAAGAGTGGATTGCAGTGTCAGTTAGAAATTTTACTGTTTTCTTAATTGCTGTAATACTTAAGTCGTTGTCAGATACTTTGTAACTCATTGTTAATGCAGGCACTGGTATGAATTTTTAAAAATTGAAAGATGATATGGATAAAGATTTTAAATTAATGGTGCTTTGTGATCCTAATGGGTGTGTTTCATTCCTAGAACTATAGGTAGGGAGTTCCTTTTGTGTGTCTATAAAGATCATTTCTCCTTGGTACACTGACTGCTAGACTTGATGGATGACCTTTCTTATTTATAGGACATCCGTTTTCTATAACAGATATTATTGTAAAAGATTGTAGTTTGGTAGATTTTGATTTTTATTTAAGTGTACTTATAATTAGGACTGGAGGACTGAGTTATATTAAATCTTTAGTGACAGGGGAATAAAAAAAAACAGCTTTGCATAACCTATAACTAAAACAACAAAAAGTATCAATTTACATCTAACAGATTTTTTTGTAAAAGATATCTTTTGTTGTCTTTCTGTAAGGGATTTAGGGACAGCTGGAATAGAGTTCTTTCTGGGAGGTAGTAGATTAGTCAGTGGAATATATTCTTTAAGTACTAAGCTTTTCATTATACCAGGGAAAATCCTAGCCTGGGTATGGTGTCATCTGCATTGCTTTTGATGTAGGAGTATGCTCAGGATGATACACAGGCTTAGAGGTTCTTTAAGTCATGTAGTTTTCAAGAAAATTTGGTATATGTTGTATTGAGTTGAATTAAGGAGAAATGAGCCATTTGTCTCATTATTTGTCTTTGTGAAGAAGATTCAAAGAAATATTACTGATATCTGAACCTCAAAAGAATACTTTTTTACTACTGACTTTAACAGTGGGTATATTTAATTGATAATTGATTATTTTTAGTTTTAGGGGCCTGTGAAAGTTATTTCTTGAATTCTCCTTCATTGCTATATCTCTAGTTAACCAGTGCTTTAAAAAATTGTGTGTGTAGATACAGTAGTTCATTCTTAGTTAAACAAAGCAAAAATTTGCCAATCTCTTCTTTCAATTTATGGTGAATGTATAGTATAGTCAGGATTTTTTCACTTTTTCATAGTAAAATTAATTTTGTACATAAGTTATACTATTGCATTTACTCAACTAATAACAACATTTTTAAATTTTGTAATAATTTTAGGCCTCGATGGGTGGTTCCAGTTTTGCCAAAAGGGGAATTAGAAGTGCTTTTAGAAGCTGCTATTGATCTTAGTAAAAAAGGTGAGTGATGTTACTATGTTTTCCATAATATATGCTATTATAGCTACTTATATATTGTTCTTCAAGGCTTTTGTGTTTTTTTTTTTATAAAGTTACAGTATATTCTTAGACTACACTATCTCTCTAAACTTTGTTAGGGCTTTTATACCTATATCTAGAGCATTAAGTACCTCTGACTTAAAATTTCATGCAGATTTTACATGTATGTTAGTATTTGTAAGAGCACAGGATCTTTTGGTTTGTATATTTTTGAAGGGGCTATTAAAAGTTAAAAAATATTTTCTAAAGTGTAATAATTTTTTTAAAAATCTGTGGTGTACATTAAAACATATTTAACAATTTAAAAATGCTAGATCACCATATGAATCCAGATTTACCAGTTGACCTTTTTCGCATGTAAGCATATGTTAATTTGCAAGTAATTTCAATAAAAATTGTTTAAACTTGCCATTTGAATGACTTAATGAACAGCCAGTAAACCAAAAGATACACCAATCTTATTTTTTTTGTGAAAATAGCTGTTGCATTAATATTTTTGTAACAAAATGTGAAGATTGCATTTTGACTTTTCAAAAACTTACCAAAAAAATTTTTTTTTAAGATTTTATTTATTTATTTGACAGAGAGAGAGACAATGAGAGAGGGAACCACAAGCAGGACAAGTGGGAGAGGGAGAAGCAGGCCTTCCACAGAGCAGGGAGCCTGATGCGGGGCTCGATGGGATCATGACCTGAGCCAAAGGCAGACGCTTAATGACTGAGCTACCCAGGCACCCCACAAAAAATTTTTTTGGGAAAACTGTCTTGATAAAAAAGGTCTTTTTTTTTTTTTTTTTAAGGCAACTGTTAAATAATCTGGTATTTTTCAGTATTGCCCAAACAAACTTTTTGTGTTAGAGTCAGTCACTTTTTGATGACTTTGTTCTACCCAATATTAGATGCCACTGAATTCTTATAGGAAATGGCCAATTTTGTAATATGCTCTACTTGCTCAAGGCCCTGAAGGCTAAAAGAAAAGGGCAATTCCATTTTATTTTCCAGATTATTCAGTAGGCAGATTTTTAACATCTTTGATATCTGTAATATCTGTTACACAGTCTGTGTTGTGTTTGTCTTGGCAATATTAATAATTTAACAATTGTTCTACAGTCATTTAAAGAATTTTTTGTTTTTAATCTTACAAATTATGAAAATATTTTATCAGGTAGCAAATGTTTCTCAAAACTCAAATTTCTTTTTTAGTTTGCACATTTGTAAGTTAATTGAAGGACTTATGAACTAGGCATGTTTTAAATCCTAAAGGTACAAAATGAACAAAAATTGAAATGCTACTTTGTTTAATAGCACTGCCATTCAGTGGATGTGTGTGGTTTGCTGAGGCTATTTCCCATTCATCTTTTCTGGGATTCTGATTACTGTGAGGCAAAGTTTAAGTTATTTTAAGAGCAGCCCTGGGGTTTTGTTTGTTTGTTTTTGTTCTTGTGGGTATTTTTTTTTTTTAAGATTTTATTTATTTGACAGACAGACCACGAGACAGGGAACACAGGGGGAGTGGGAGAGGGAGAAGCAGGCTTACCGCCAAGCAGGGAGCCTGTTGCGGGGCTCGATCCCAGGATCCTGGGATCATGACCTGAACCGAAGGCAGACGCTTAACTGACTGAGCCACCCACGTGCCCCTGGTGTTTTTTTATTACGTTATGTTAGTCACCATACAGTACATCATTAGTTTTTGATGTGGTGACCCACAATCCATTGTTTTCGTAAAACACCCAGTGCTCCATGCAATACGTGCCCTCCTTAATACCCATCACCAGGCTAACCAATCCTCACACCCGCCTCCCCTCTAAAACCCTCATTTTGTTTCTCCGAGTCCATAGTCTCTCATGGTTCGTCTTCCCCAGTCTTGGGTTTAAATAATCTGTCAACACATATATGGGCAAAACCAAACTACACTGTGCAAATTTAGTATTTCTGAGTTCTTATGAAGTATTAGAAGTTTTCTTTTTGGCACTGAGTGTACTGTTTGTCTTTAGCCATAGGAAATTAAAAAGAATTAAGCATGTACAGATAATGAAAAATGATGAAAGGACTAATTAATTACAAAATCAAGACAGAGTTCATGTTTTAAATTTGTTGTTAAACAGAATTTACAGCCAAACGAAATTTTAAAACAGTTACTTTTTTTAATGTTGTCCACTGTATTTTCAGTGAGTTTAATGCTGTGAAATGCTTTCATTCCCTTTTTACCCAGTGATTTTTTTGTTTTAACGTTTAGTAACCTATCTGGAAGCACTTTCAGTTTTATTATCTTAAATGATATAATTGGTTAGGGAAATGTTTTCTTTATGCTGAATTTACTGTAATTTTTTTTTCATCTATTCTTAGGTCTTGATGTTAAAAGTGAAGCATGTCAGCGTTTTTTTCGAGATGGGTTAACAGTATCTTTCACTAAAATTCTTATGGATGAGGCAGTGAGTGGCTGGAAATTTGAAATTCATGTGAGTCTTCTGATTTATTTGAGACTCGTACTTGGTGATTGCATATGGATTTATCCTTGGAAAATATTATTGTGAATAACATATTAAATCTGATGATATGTTTGACAGAATTGAAGGTTTTTAAGAACAGTCTTGTCTTTTAGAATGAATTTGAGATTTTGATTCCTGAAACTTGGTTTAATCTGTGTCCTGGAATCCCAAGTGCCTGTGACCGTATGCACATCCCACATTTCATCAAGTGTATCCTGTTATTGATTGTAAGAGTCCACTATTTTTCATAACTTTAAGAAAGAAAAATACCCAGATGGCAAATAGAAGACTCCCAATATAATTAGGACACCAAAGCGTATAATTTTAGTATAGATGTACCTGATAAATAAAATCATAATGTGGAAATGACAAGGAAAATTTAAATCTTACAGGCTTAGAATTTAAATCACAAACCAGTATTCCACAAGTTTTTGGTATGACTTCAAACTACAGTTTTTTAGTAATTACAAAAGCCAAAATCTGAACTGTTCTCAAATTGGTAATGTCTTCAAGTAAATGGCTGCAGAAAATGTACTGTGAGGAAATACCTTAAGTCTAGGACGTACAAGCCAAGGCAGAATAATGCAAGCTGCCATTGATTCTTAGATACCTTTGTAACCAGATTTTGAAAGGGAAAAAATATACATCTTACTTGAATCATTGAACTCTAAAACCTGGTTTTTATGTATAACATAGAATTAATCAAGAGTTCTAAAGCAAACAGTGTTGTTCTGTGGACTTCAACCTAGAAAATATAACTTGAACATTCCCCACAAATGAATATGGCATATAAATCCTAACATTTTCTGATTTCACATACTTTTTAGGGTTAGAGGTAGACATTTGGGGAATTATCTGACTTTTGAATTGATATTTAGATCCAGGTCTCCTAATCTTGGATAGTTGACAGGATTTTGAACATTTAGGTTGTGGAATTGTTGCCTTTAGAGTACAGATTCCAAAGAAAGAAAATGGTAATTTGCATGTCTACTTTGTGGACACAGAATATAAAAAGACAACCAGTGGTACCTACTTCATCTGTAACCTTTCTCACATAGTTTTTGAAATTAGGTGCAATATAAATATGAAGTAAGTTAATTATTATTTTATTTTTACTGATATATCAGTTTGATTGCAGTGCTTGTGAAGTTAAGCAGAATTCAGATGACCAGTATAGAAAAATGCAAAGAGAGCATTAACAAGATTAGAGTGTTTCTGTGCTTGAAATTACAATGTTACCTTTTTTAAATGAATTTTTCTTGTTCTTGTCCCCTTTCACATAACAGAGGTGTATTATTAACAATACTCATCGTCTAATGGAGCTTTGTGTGGCCAAGTTGTCCCAAGACTGGTTTCCACTTCTAGATCTTCTTGCTATGGCCTTAAATCCACATTGCAAATTCCACATCTACAATGGTACACGTCCATGTGAATCAGTTTCGACAAATGCTCAATGGCCTGAAGATGAACTATTTGCTCGTTCTTCAGATCCTCGATCACCAAAAGTGTGTTGGTTTTCAAAATTAAATACTGTTTTGTGTTTTTACAAAACTTCAGTGACATGAACCTTTCTTTTAACATAGTGATCAGTTTATAACTTTGTTTTATGTGTGTTTATTTAAAAAACACATTATTTAGTATATATAGTGATTCATTAACATTGTACAGTGGGCCAACAGCATAAAACTCATACCTGACCAAAGCTTATTATGTATTAATCAGTTTATGAACTTTATGCTATATTTCCCATAGTAGCAAGATACTGTATTTGCTCCTTCAGTGTTCAAAGTGACTTTAGAGAATTTAACCATTTTAAGTCAAGAGCATGAACTGTACTTTGCCCTTATATATGTATATTTAATTGCAGAAACATACGTTTATGAGAGGCCATGTAAACAATTTTTTTTTTTAAGATTGTATTTACTTGGGAGAGAGAGCATGAGCAGGGGGGGAGGGAGAGGGAGAAGCAGACTCCCCGCTGAGCAGGGAGCCCCACTTGGGGCTCGATCCCAGGACCCTGAGATCATGACCTGAGCTAAAGGCAGACACTTAACTGACTGAGCTACCCAGGTGCCCTGTAAACAAATTTTTAAATTTTTACTATTTTGTGACACATCCTAAGGCATTTTTTAGTAGATTTTATTTATTCATTAGAAAGCACAGGCGGAGAGGGAGAAGCAGATTCCCCGCTGAGCAAGGAGCCCCAGTGGAACTTGATCCCAGGACCTGGAGATCATGATCTGAGCCTAAGGCAGATGCCTAAGGTGCCCCCAGTTAGGCATTTCTTAAAATGCTTTGATTTCCTTTTTTTTTTTCTTTTTGTCTTTCTTTTTAAAGATTTATTTTTTCAGAGAGAGAGTGCACCCAAGTGTGAGCACAAGCAGGGAGCACAGGTAGAGAGAGAAGCAGGCTCCCCGCTGAGCAAGGAGCCCAATGCAGGACTTGATCCCAGAGCCGAAGGCAGACACTTAACTGACTGAGCCACCTAAGCGCCTTGAAATGCTTTGATTTCTTACGAGGAACTCTTAGTGTTGATTAGCATCTGAGTTTTGGGTCAAGTAAATAATCTTTCAGTCTATATTCATTTTGCACAGAAGATATGGTCTGCCCAAATTATAACTAATTTCAAGGAAGCACAGCAGAAAATAAAAAAAACTAATGCTGTATCAGTAGAACTAAGAAATTAGCCAAAAGCACTCAAATCAGCCGACCAGGCTATATAAGAAGGCTCCCTGTTTTGTATATGTTCATTCTAATGTCTCATGTCATTTTAATGAGTTTCTTATGTCTCAAAGACTGTTTGATTATATTCATTTTGATTAATTTTTTGAACACATTGAAAAAGTTACCAGCAGTAAGAAGCAGAAAGCAGAATGTAGCTTTAGTGTGTGTCAGTGCACACATACATAAGTAGAATCCAAAAAAATAACAAAAGCACAAAATCCCTGTAAACTAATGTGAAATATGTGCATACAGAGATAACTTGACTTTTATTTCCAATTTGGATCCCTCTCATTTCTGTTTCATGCCTAAGTTTCATGGCTAGGACTTTAGTACCTTTAGTACCTTTAGCTGAATAGGTTTTGTCAAGTTAGGCATCCTTATTTTGTTCCTAATCTTGGAGGGAAAGCTTTGAGTATTTCATCATTGAGTTTGATACAGGTTTTTCATATGTGGCCTTTGTTATTTTGAGGCAATTTTCTTTTTTTTTTTTTAAGATTTTATTTATTTCTTTGAGAGAAGAGAGTGAGCACGAGCCAGGAGGAGGGGCAGAGGGAGAGGGAGAAACGGGCTTCCCGCTGCTCGATACAGGGCTCCATCCCAGGACCCTGGGATCAAGACCTGAGGCTAAGGCAGACGCTTAACAACTGAGCCACCCAGGTGTCCCGAGGCAATTTTCCTTTGTTCTTAGTTTCTCCAGTGTTTTTATTGTTTCTAGTAGTTAAATTTTGCCCAACCCTTTTTCGGCATGAATTGAGATGATGTGGGGTTTTTTTTTCTTTGATTCTGGTAATGTGGTGTGTGTTACATTGATTGATTTTGTATATTAAGACATCTTTGCATCCCAGGGAGAAACATCCCATTTGTTCATGTTGCTAGTATATTGTTGAGGGGTTTTATATCAGTGTTCATTAGGACTAGTCTGTAAAGTCTTTGTCTGCCTTTGGTATCAGAGTAATCCTGGTCTCTTAAAATGAGTTTGGATATGTTCCTTCCTCTTCATGTTTTTGGAAAAATGTGAGATTGGTGTTAACCTTGCTGGAATTTTCCAGCGAAGCCGTTTGGTCCCTCATTTTTCTTTGTTGGAAAGTTTTTGATTGGTGATTCAATCTCCTTACTAATTTTAAGCCTGTTCAGAATCTTTCTTCCTGATCAGTTGTGGTATAAGTTGTGTGTTCTAGAAATTTGTCCATTTTGGGGCACCTGGGTGGCTCAGTCGTTAAGCGTCTGCCTTCAGCTCAGGTCATGATCCCAGGGTCCTGGGATTGAGCCCCGCATCAGGCTCCCTGCTCTGCCAGAAGCCTGCTTCTCCCTCTGCCACTCCCCCTGCTTGTGTTCCCTCTCTCTCTGTCAAATAAATAAAAAAATTAGAAATTTGTCCATTTTATCTAGGCTATCCAGTTTGTTTACACTAATTCATAGTCCTTTCAATATAATTATTCATAGTGCTTTCTAATCTTTTATTTCTGTGAACTCTATAGTAAAGGCCTCTCTTTCATTTCTGATTTTGGGTTTTTTTCTTACTTAAACTTGTTTTTTTTCAGGAAAGAACTTTTGGTTTTAATTTTTTTTTTTTCCTCTTTTCTATTCTTTGTCTCTGGTCTAATGTTTCATTGTTCTAGTTTTGGATTTAGTTTGCTACTCTTTTTCTAGTTTCTTTCAAAGTGAAAAGTTACATTGTTGACTTGGAACCTGTTTTTTTTTTTTTGAAACATTTGAAACTAAGTTTTCCTTCTGACACTGATTGCTTCTTTGATCAATTGGTTAAGAATATGTTGTTTTATTTCTGCGTATTTGTGGATTTTCCAGATTTTCTATTACTGATTTCTAATTCCATTCCATTTTAATATGAAAAGATGCTTTCTGTGATTTTACTTTTTTTTTTTTATTTTATTGAGAGAGAGAGAGGTCACACGCATGAGTAAGGGAGGGGCGGAGAGGAGAGGGACAAGCATACTCTCTGCTAAGCAGGGAGGTAGACATGGGGCCAAATCCCAGGACCCCAAGATCATGACCTGAGCCGAAAGCAGCCGCTTAACCAATTTAGGCACCCAGGCGCCCTTGATTTTATTCATTTTAAGACTTTTTCTGTAGAATATTTCATGTGCACTTACAAAGAAATACGTATTCTGCCCTTGTTGGGTGTAGTGTTTTGTATGTCTGAAAAGTTCAATCGTTCTGTAGTGTTTTCTAAGACTGTTTTTTGCTTCTTTTCTTCTGTTTAGTTGTTCTGTTATTGGAAATACAATATTGAAGTCGCCAAGTAGTAGTCTAGAACTGTTTCTCCCATATGTCAATAGTGGCTTCATATATTTTAAAAACTCTGAGGTTCAGTGCATCAATACTTGTTACATCCTTCTTGGTAAATTGACCTTCAGTCATCACATAATGTCTTGTCTCTTATCATAGTTTTTGACTTAACAGTCCATTTTTTTTGATAGCCATTCCTTTTCTGTTTTGGCTACTATCTGCATGAAATATATTTTTCCATCTTTTTACTTCTAAGCAATACATATCCTTAGAACTAAAGCGACTCTTTTAGGGATGCCTGGGTGGCTCAGTCACTTAAGCAGCTGCCTTTGGCTCAGGTCATGATCCCAGAGCCCAGCGAGAGTCGGGCTCCCTGCCCAGTGGGGAGTGTGCTTCTCCCTCTCCCTATGCCACTCCCCCTGTTTATGTTCTCTTGCATGCTGTCTCCCTCTCAAAGCTTTTTTTAA